AGAAAGATTAACCATTTTAGCTGGGAGTTCTTATCTAAAGCAACAGGTAGCTTTCAGCTACAGAGAGTTTCTCATCTATGTGCTGTCAACTATGAAAAACTGCTAATAAAACATCCTGTGTTGTCTCCTGAGCTACAAGATCATCTTCCTTTCCCATATAAGATCATAGACTCACCCTCTATGGTAATGTATAGATAGTTTATATATTAAGTGTGTCTTTATTTAACAAGACAAGATTTCTATCTAGGTCTTTGTATTCAGCAAAGTTATCAAACTGGCCCGGGACTGAAACTATCAAACATCTTGTGAGCCCCCTCTTCAAAAGACACTTCCCAGTAATCAAGACCTAAGAATAAGATACAGCAGACAAACGGACTTCCTCATCCTAAAAACTGCGATTGATTTTTAACTAATCTGACAAGACAAACAGCATGTTTTATAATTATTGCTTCCATGCTCTGTATACCCTGTTCCTTAGAGTAAATTTTTTACTGCCCCTCACCCATTTTCTTGCATGTATCACATTTTCAATAAAAAGGCACTATGATTCCTAACAGTTGTCACTCCTCAGAGAGTGATCTCTGAGAGTGTCCGGCATAGGATTAAAAAGCACCGAGACCTTTGTCTTCTGTTCACCTGCGCCGCCTCCATCGAGTCAACCCACCCCCACCAAGGCTAGACCCCAGCAACAGAGAAAGTGAGAAAGTATCCCTCAGATAAATAACTCTGCCTTACTGTCTTCCCCTCCATTCTCCTCTTGGGATTTTAGGTACCCACATGTACCCACCCGGCATGTTTTTCAGCCATTGGATCTATGACTTGAGCTGTGCAGTTGCCCATATGGATCCAGCTGCCTTACCCTCCATGCCACCTGATGGCCTTCCCTTTAACTTCTATTTCTCTATCCTGCCTGGCTTTTGAACCTGTGGGAATAAGGGCCCAATATGTTTCAAGCCTCAGGGGTAGGATTTTAATTGGCTGGCCATGTGGGACCCAGACTTCTTAACCACTAGACCCCAGTGCTGGCCTAGTAGGGTTGTCTATTTCACTACATTTATTAAGAATAGTTTGGGAGATCAGCAGATGGCACAGTGGTCAAGGTGCTGGACACTTCCATGTGGCTGACGACAATTGAAGTCCCAAACCTGGTGGCTGGCTTTCGCCCTTTCTCTTGCTTTCTCTCTCTCTCTCTCTCTGGTCAAATTAAAAAAATAAATGAATGAGGGGCTGACAGGTGGTGTGGTAGCCAAGGCTGCTGGACTCTCACATGGCCAACAGCAGTTCAAGTCCTGGACCTGGTGGCTTTCTCTCTCTCTCTTGCTCTATCCCTCTCTGGTCAAATTAAAATAAATGAATAAAGTTTAATAAAAATAATTCTATTAAAAATAAATAAATGATTTGGGACCAGCAGGTGGCATAGAGATTAAGATGCTAAACTCCCACATGGTTGACAGTGGTCTGAGTCCCAGACCTGGCAGCTTGAATATCACACTGAATGTATATGTACCCAAAATCCTGAGAGAATAGAGAAGAGATTGTGGTATGGTCATCCCTCCTGGAGGGGCGATTTCTCACTTTCTGCCTCTTTGTCTATCCTTCTACAAGCACTTGCATCCTATACCAAGAAACTTCTCAATCAATCAATGATTTAGACTAACACTGAGTCTAGTGGTTAAGGGAACTAGATTATATATGACTGACTATGCAACCAAAGTTTGATCCTAGTGGCGTGAAAAACAAGCCAGGCTTGAGTGTGACCTAAATCCTGAAAGAATGGAGAAATGGAGAAAGGATCCAAGATGACCATGCTCCTCCATAGGGTATTTACTTCCTCTCATCCTGTCTCTCTTTGGCAAGCACAAACACTGTCTGCAATTAAAAATGAATGAACAGTTTAAAGAAATTATATGTATAGCATTTTCCCATTCTCAAAAAGCTTTCCATATCTGATGCTCAGTAATATGGTAGATGGATATTATTATTCACATATTATTAAGAAAATGAGAATCAGAGAAATTAATCTGCCCAATTGTATTATGAGAGCTAATTGAAGTGGAGGAATGACACTTCTTCACCCCAGTTCTATACAGAAACTCTAGAAAGCAATTATTTGGATGCTCCAGAGAAAAAGAAAAGCTTCAGATTTCTTTACTGGCTGAGATGAGACATAGAGTATAAATTCATGCTGTTCTAAAGGCACTATTCACTGGAGCCTGCATATACATCTCTAGTAACTTTAATATTCATATAAAAATGAGTATTCCTAGTTTTTGGCATCTCCAACTACCATTATATTTGCCAGCAAAAATGGGACCTATGAAGAGCAGAACAAGATCAGATTTTCAGATATCAAACCTAAAGAAGTTTTCTGAAACCTTCAATGATTTACTATTGCTGGGATCATTCCATAACAAGAAAACACTTTTAAAAGAATTTTCTCCCAAAGCTCATTTGCTAGATTCCATAAATTACAAAGGATCTGTATCAGAGAAACTCAAACCTAGTAAGAGGTTTTTCTTCCAGTCTACTAAAAATGCACACTGAATACACAATGCTGGCCATACTATTTTAGATAATGATAGAAAACGACAGCCAATAGCTAATGTGGGACAAATGCCAACTGTTTCCATTTGTCTCAAAATGCTCAAATTAATTGCTATAAAACTCAGTTTTCAAAGAAAATTATTTCAAAAAGAGAAAGTATATTAACTAAAATCCTGAAAAGCAATCTGAAGATAATGCCTTTCAGCTGCAGTATTTTTAATCTTAGCGTTCTGAAGTATAAGTAAACACATCTGAACAGTTTCAAATATTTTCATATATTTTATTTTTAAACTCTTATAATTTTGCATGCTAACAGTAAAATATTGCCCTCAATATTTTGCTAATTAGCACCATATACCTTTAAAGCTAACTGGAACATTGTTTCATTGTAAATAAAGGGGTCATTTCAAATGCCAAATTTGTCTCAACTTGTGAACCATTATTAATTTTAAATTAAAATGTCTGGCTCTATGCACAAAGACGTATATCAAAGATAAACTTAACTATATTAATCTCAGTTTGTTAATTTAACAAATCAAAGTATCAGCTTAAAGAAATATTTAATCACTGATATTATAAAAAGGCATATAAGGAAGTTGAGGAATCAGCTATAAAAACAAATGATACACATAACCAATGTAAAGTCCCTTTTTTTAATAAGAGAAAATAACTTAATAAACAATTCCATAGTGTAAGTATCACTTACACACATGGTTTAGTATATATTAGTATTCTCATGCTTTGCTTATCAATAGTTTAGCCTTACCAAAAAGACATTAAAATGTCCAGAATTACTCACAGGGACAGCAGGAAGCCTGAAATAAAATTGCTCAGTGCAAAAGGACACCAAGCAATTCATATAATTTTAAATGGAAGCCTAGACATTAACCTCTATTTTTAATGTTCTCATCTGAAAAAACTTACAAAAATATGGGAAACACGATCTAATTATCCTCAAATTACTTCCATGCATTTAAAATTTTTGTTTTAAAATGGGTTCTTTTCATTTCCTGTCCTACGATAAAGAGTGTTCTTCAGAACTGTGGGGTTAAGTTCCAATTTCCTGTCTTATGATACAGAGTGTTCTTCAGAACTGTGGGGTTAAGTTCTGAGCCACAAGTGAATGCTTACTAGCATGACTGTTTTGCATACCAGTAGAATCTAGTCCAGTTTTGCCATTTGCGGATACCTATGACAAGATGCAAAAGCATGTGTTTGCCATAAATAGCTCTGACTAACAGCAAACCGCTCACACTGAGCAGATCAAATTCTCTGTAAGGAGAGCAGTCTGGACCACAGCCAAGTCCCGCTACTAATGTTTAAGATTGCTGTATCAATTTCTTTTTCTAATTTTATTTGCAAAATATAAGAACTAATAGCAGAAATGAACATTCTTAAACATTGGAAGTGTTATTAAACTTCAAAAGAGGGTTTTATAAATTATTTTCATTATGATCAAATAAGCAATAAGAGCTTCCTGCTTCTACTACTCAAATAATCAGAAATGTAAATGAATAAAAAAAATCCTAAATTATCCAGAGAATATGCGAGATACTGAAGAGTATGTTAAAGTGCAAAAAAATATTTTTGATCTTTATATT